TACTTTTATTTCTTCGGTTCTATATATCTCATTTAATTTGTTTATTATGATTTTTTTTAAATCTTTGTTCTTATGGCCTTTATGTTACTCTTTATTCTTGTTCTCAATTCGCCTATATTTTTCTTTGTGTATTTCAGATATTTGTTTTATTTTGTTTTTTTTCTCGTCCAAGCTATTCTGTGTTCATGATTATAATCACCAGTGACATCAATGATAAAACATTATGTATGGCATTATTTGTATTTTTCGACATTATCATTAAAATCAAAATAATCATTATCATCATCATTATTACGATTTGACATTTATCATTACCATCACACTCGTTGATTCTGTCATTACTGTAGCTTTCATTATCATCATCATCATTGTTATGATTACTAAAATAATATCTATCATCATTATTGTTGTCCTGATTACTGTCGTCATAATGACAATGATGATAATGACAATAGTGATGTTAACAATGTTTATAACAATGAAACAGTAATAATAGCAATAAAATATGATAAGGATAATGATAATGGAAATGTTAGTGATGATATTAGTAATGATAATGATGATAATGGTAACCATAATGATAGTACTAATGATGATAATAATAATAATGATAATAATAATGATAACTGCAATAATAACAACAACAATGATAATGATGATGATGATAATGATAATGATAATGATAATGAAAATAATGATAATAATAACAATAATAACTATGATGATAATGATAATGATGATGAGAAGAAGAAGAATGATAACAACATTGATAATAACAAAGAACACAAAATAATAGTAAGGACGACAATGATAACAGTGATGATAATGATGATAATAACAACAACGACAATAATGATGATTCAAATAATGATGCTAATTAATGAAAATAATAAACGAAAAAACCTAATGATGATAAAAGAAGTAACAGTAATGAACAACAGCAATGATCATGATAAAGAAAATAAAAGTGTAATGATAATAAGAGTAATAAAAAAGATAAATCATATGGATAATGGTGCATTGATAAGAACAAAGCCTCTCATTTATTCATTCTCCTTCCTCCATCTTTCTTCCCTTATCCCTATCTTCCACACGCCCTTATCCTTACCCTAGCTCCCTCTTCTCCAAAGCTCCCTTACCCTAGCCTCCCCCCCCCCCACACTTTCCCTCCTCCCCAAACTCCCTCCTCATTCCCCACTCTCCCTCTTCCTCTACCCAACTCACTCCTTCCCTTTTCTCCCTCCACCCAACTCCCTCATCCTCATGTTCTCCCCTGTAAACCCCTCTCCCTGTTTCCCTTCCCTCCTTTTAATCCATCATTCCCCCATCACTTCACCCTTCCCTCCCTTCCTCCACCATCCCCTTCCCCATTTTAAGCCTCCCCGTTCTCCCCTTCCCCCTTCCCTCCCTCACCCCCCCCTTCGCTCTCCCCCGTAACCCACCCCTTCAATTCCATATTTTCCCCCATCCCTCCTCCCTCCCACCAACCCTCCCCTTCCTCCTCCCTCCACCAACCCCGTCCCTCTTTAATCCCACACCCTCCCTCCATTCCTTTTCCCTCCCTCCTCCCCCCGCCTCCCCTTCTTCACCAACCCTTCCCTCTTAGCACCCATCCGCTCTCCACCAACCCCCCTCACCCCCTCACCCTATCCTCGCCCCCTCTCTCACCCCCTCACCCTTCTCCCACCACCCTCCCCCTTCCCTCCCTCGCCCCCCCTCCCCAAGTCTAACACACGTGTAATATCATCATCAAGATCACTGCGCGAGTTTATCACACCACGCACGTAATTGGCTCCCCAGGAGGAGAAGGCAGTTAAACACGCGATCTCCCCGCGGGGCAGATCCCCCTTCCTCTCTTCTCTCTCTCTCTTCTCCTCTCTCTCTCCTCTCTCTCTCTCTCTCTCCTCTCTCTCTCTCATCTCTCTCTTCCTCTCTCTCTCTCTCTCTCTCTCTCTCTCTCTCTCTTTTCTCTCTCTCTCTCCTCTCTCTCTCTCCTCTCTCTCCTCTCTCTCTCTTTCTCCTCTCTCTCTCTTCTCTCTCTCCTCTCCTCTCTCTCTCTCTCTCTCTGTCTTCTCTTTATTCTCTTTCTCTTTTTTTTCTCTCTCCTCTCTCTCTCTCTCTCTCTCCTCTCTCCTCTCTCTCTCTCTCTCCTCTCTCTCTCTCTCTCTCTCTCTCTCTCTCTCTCTTCTTCTCTCTCTCTCGTCTCTCGGTTCTCTCTTTCCCTCTCTCTCTCTCTTCTCTCCTCCAGCGCTCTCTCTCTCTCTCTCTCTCTTCTCTCTCCTCCTCTTCTCTCTGTGCCCCTTTCAGCCGTCTTTATTTTCCATCTTCTCTTCTCTCTCTCAGTCCTCCTCTCTTCTCTCTCTTCTCTCTCTGGGTCGTTGTTGTTCTTTCGTCTTCTCTCTCTCTCTCTCTCTCTGCCCTTCTTCNTCTCTCACCCTTCCCTTTCATTTTCTTTCCCTCCCTCCCTCCCTTTTGCCTCCCTCCCTCCCTCCCTCCCTTTTCTCTTCCTTTCTCCCTCCCTTTTCTCTTCTCTCCCTCCCTCTCCTCCCTCCCTTCTCTCTTCCTACCCCTCCCTCCCACCCTCCCACCTGCTCAACTAGGTTCATTTATCATACCAAAAATTTAGACCTTCACCAGGTATCCTGAAGGCCATTCTGCAATTCTGAACAGGGAAGTGGAGAACCTTTTTAAATATCCAAATGTGCTGAGAATTTATTTTTGTACCATGTAGTTTACTTTAATTTTTTTTTCAAGTTACAAGAGGGTTCACTTTTGTTATACAAGAAAATGTGGTATTTGGGACAATCATTTGTAGAGTGACAATATGTAAATGAATATTTATAAGGACTATGTTTCAAATATATATGAAGAGATGTCATTACTAGAATATCATGTCACTTTTTTCTTTCATACTTTCCTTATGCTGGTCATCACTCCTACCACCTAGCAACCTTGTTTTGTTTACATAGTTATATCTCTCTTCCTCCATCTTTCTCTGTCTGTCTGTCTGTCTGTCTGTCTGTCTGTCTGTCTGTCTCTTTCTGTCTGTCTGTCGATCTGTCTGTTTTTCCCACCCTTACTTCCCTAGAATGGCCCTTGCATAGGCCACTAATAGGTCTCTTGCTTAAACTTACTCCAGGTAAACAAGTAATCAAGTAACTGTACTGTTATCCTTATTACCTTTATTTTTTTCTTCATCTGTCCTTTCTCCTTCCCTGTACTTTCCAGTGTTTCACTTTTCCGTGTTATCTTTAACCATCTGTGATAAAACATCTGCCTGATTCTATAGTCCACATATTCAACTGAGATGTATGCTGCATTCTTTTTTTTTTCTTCTTCTTCTTGATTTGCTCCATTACAGTTCGGCTCAAAATAATTTTAAAACCAACTTTCTCTTGTAACCTTAAAAATCACATGGATTCCCTTGATTATGATGTAGGACCTAGTGATACATTCACTAAAAAAATCTTCATACACTAAGTACAGTGATTTATGCTATTTATCTTATTTAAATAATGTATCATTATGCTGCCATGTATTCACACTTGGGTGTACATCTTTGTAACTTTCACTAGAGTATATTCAAGGGAGAGAAATTTGAACCACATATTTCTCTGTCCTGCAAAGACTAAGATGACATACTGAATACACACGAAACTGTTCTGTAACTGGTACAGGATAGAATTAATATATAATGATAAGTAAAACAATATTTTCTTTATTTGTTTTTATTAGTCAGGATAAAACACACCAAAGATTCTGGTGGTTTATACCAAGATTTGCTCAAAGTGTTTTTTATATGGCTTTAAAAAAACATGAAGTAAGCCATAGCTAAGAATGACTGCATATTTAGGAAAGAGTATTTCATACTGTCCTGATATTCAGCAGGTCAGATACTCTGCACTTCATAGTACATTACACTAACAGAGTGTATATGTTTATTCCAAACACCATTCTGAAAAGTAAATATCAAGTCAGTAGAATGAACCTTTCATAAAAAGACCATATTACTTCAGAGTGGAGTCACTGTACTTAAAAGTAGTTCCTATTTTTTAAGAGTGCAATCACTGTACTCAAACCAACATTTTTTTCAAACTGCAGCCATCATGACACTGCAGGGTTTGTACACCTCTCAGTGCAGAAGACCAGTATTTGCCACCTCCCCAAAGTGGACCTTGTCGACTGTTACATGGGACATCTAATCAGGTGAAAGTGACAATGAATCCAAGGGTCAAAATGGTTTCATCATTGAATAGGAGAGTCCTTTGCATAAAACAGAATTCCCATCATAGTCTTACTGAAAATGGTCAAGCTTGTAAGATGCAATATTGCTGTAAAGTATTGATATAAGACTTGGTATGACCCAGAGCGAACAGTATAGAAGCAACCATACCACATGACTCAATATGAGGAATGTCTAATGAGAACCAAATTATCGGGCTCATACGATTCTGGAAGACTGCAGGTTTAGTATTGAATACTCTGTGTCACCTAGAGTAGCAGAGGTTTGAGTAGTTGTCACAGAGTAAAGATATTGCATAAGAATTCTTAATACAAGTTGAATACAAGCTTTTCAACTCAAACTTTTTTTTCTTGGAGTAAGATATTTTCTCTGACTCCTACAAGCCAACTTCTTTTATATCAATTGACTATGAATGATAAAAAGAAATGGACATATAAAGAAATGGACATAGTGCATGCTAATAATAAGGTAAGTCATTACATTTAATCATCATGATAGCTGTGCCATAATTTTCCCTGGCGACATTCAAATGTGAGGTCATGCATATCATCGACTGTCAAGATATATACCAGGAATTTCATAAATAATAAATGTATTAGTAGATAATGTAAGGATTCTAAAGTAATACAAAAATACAAATTGGACCAAATTACCTAGTACAGTGCTATAAAATATAATGATTTATATAAATCTAATGCATATAATAGTTTATATGTAATATGATATAAAATAAATTCACAAAAGTATATTACACTTTGTATAGATTAGTTATTATAAGAGTCTTAGGGTTCAAGAAATAAAACTCCTAGGATGAAGAAATATTTGTAAACATTTAGCTTACTTTTTTTCCAAGGTGTGTTGTATCATGCTTATTCCATCCTCTGTTCCTTCAAAGATCCACAGACCTCAGCCGGTCCACCATATGAATAAAATGTAATTGAGGTTTTACATGGGAAAAAAATAGTATCTTTTTGTTGTTGTTGTTGTTGCTTTTTGACTATCATTTATAAAGAAAATGAATGTCTCCTTTGTTTAGGGACATTTATGAAAGAGAAGGAAAATTGTTACTGTTAAACAAATCTATATACTATGACTTCACTCTTCAAAAAATCTTGAATACAGTTACTTAAAATCTCTGTCTCAGTTAATATTCAAGATTAACACGCTACAAACTTCAAAAAATCTAAAATCTATAAAAAAAAATTAAGTTCTTTTCAGTTCTCCTACAATCTTCATTCATTCTTTACCATCTATACTTTTCTGCAAAAATAAAGTCAACAGATTTGTATTGTCTTCAAAATCAAAAGAAATGAGAGAAAAATATACATATTCATCTCAACAACATATTGTTAAGAATTTCCGGTCAAAATTTTTTCCAAATAGAATACACAAGAGAAAACGACAATACTCACAACCTGGCTTACTAATGACAGTGTCAATACAATATACGGTATCAATTATTCTTTGCCAAATCTACCCTTTTTTCAATTTGTAAGCCAGTCAGCATGTAGACAGTAAATTTCCTTTGCAACATTAACAAAAGAGCTGCTTGCATAAATCTATCCTCTATGCCCTGCAACGAAATCATGTAAAATTCAAGTACTACTTGGATATTACATACATAAAACCATACAATAGGTTTCAGACAGTTGGGAGCTTCTGTTTCCAGTCATGTGAAGCTTGATTCAGAAGAAAACAATTTTTAAATAATGCTGTGTAACATTTCATCATGCTGTGATAAACAAATATGAAACTAAGACATTATTAGTTCCTTTGTAAGGAAAAGGAAAAAAATATATCTAACAGACCAAATTTTTTATTCCTGACTGGACACAATGAGTTAATATATTGGTAGAAAAACAATTGAGCTCACTAATCAAGCAGGAGAAAATACACAGAGGATATAAACTGACAGCAGAGAGGGTGTAATAGCTAAAAATAAGTGAAAACTAAGTCCAGAGCAAAATAAAAGGAAAACAAAAAAATGCAGCAAGCCTTCAGTGAAGAACATAAGAAACAAACTCAAGCAGACAAAGCAGACAAAAAGGTGGATTTCTAAGCATTCTCAGCAACTGAACATTTATATACATGGTCACCAATATTTGCCATAAGCAAAGGAGCATTGTTACTAGTGATAAACCTTTAAAAAGAAAAAAAATATGCACTCTTGTATACTGTGTTTAATTAACCATTTAACAAAGACAGCCAAATTTCTTATATTAGGAAAAGACAATCAAAATCCTTAATGATGTAACATCAGTCAGTTAAAAGGTTTGCCAACTAATCTACACTGGATAAACTTCTATAGAATATTGCTTAGGCTGTGTTAGAAACAGATCAAATTTCCTCTTGCTGGGCTACATCTGAGACCTATCGCAAATTAATTTTTCTCTGTTGTGCCTCACTTCCTACTAGTCTAACTATCTAAATCTGAGACCTATCGCAAATTAATTTTTCTCTGTTGTGCCTCACTTCCTACTAGTCTAACTATGAAGTTTCTAAGACATACAGGCCAGTGTCCAAGCTGAAAATTTACAATGACCTTTCTTATACCTTTCTTGTATCTTTAAGGTCAACATAACACTCATATACATCTCCATATATACAGGAGATGGTTATTAAAGACATGCAACAGCTTCAAATTTCTGTAATAATTTGATGATGGAAAGGTTAGTATTTCCTTTAAAAAATATTTCATAAGTAGCTTTAAATGTGGCAACAAATTCAAAACCAGCCACAATCTGTAAAAAATATACATATATTATTACTGGAGTGAAGAATATCTAAATGACTGATAAGTAGCACGATATTACAAACTTATTTTGGCATTATTCTGCAGATCTATCTCACATCAAGCAACAAATATAATAATGCATACATTTTCATTTTTTGACAGTTTAAAGAAAAAAAATCAAAGTGGTTGAATATGTATATATCACAATAATTATTTTGATGCTTTGCAACTTCCATGTTGGGCATAAAGCATGAATATCTCCATAGAATTGCCATAAAGTAATATCAATTGTATATGACTTGTGAAAATCGATTACTTGTCCCATCAAAACCTTAATCTCAAGTTTTTAAATTTGGTAATTATGTCAGTAGACTGGTGTCCTTATACCATTCAACAGTAAAATAAATTAATCAAATCCTGCAATAAATAATACTGAAAACATGTGATACTAAGATAACATCAAATGGTTAAATAAAGATGGGAAACCCAAAGTCCATTCACTAATTCTAAATTTCATTTAATT